ATATACTTTCATAGTGGTGGCTCTCACTACTAGATTTCCCTTTGTGTTCTATTTATTGAGACATGGTAAAGACGCACTGCTGTGTTTGTGTTTGTAGGTACAGGCAAAGCATCTTGGGTGTGTTGGACTGAGCTGCTTTTATTTGGCTGTAAAATCGATAGAAGAGGAAAGGAATGTCCCACTGGCAACTGATTTGATCAGAATAAGCCAGTATAGGTTTACAGTTTCAGACTTGATGAGAATGGAAAAGATTGTGTTGGAGAAAGTGTGTTGGAAAGTCAAAGCTACTACTGCCTTTCAATTTCTGCAACTGTATTACTCACTCATTCAAGACAGCTTGCCTTTTGAAAGGTACGTGAACTTTATTTTGGAATTAAAAAAAAGTTTTGGAAATCAAAAGGATATTGTTTGGCTGTGGCATAAAGTCAGCATGTTCGTAGAATTCCTAGCAAAATAAGTGTGTGGTACCTGTGGTCCCTTGGACTTTGCTGCCTAACAGAAGTGAAAAGATGCTGTCAACAGTTTATTGAAGGCTCCTTAAGATTAAAGGACATTTCAACTTTATAGAACCCAGGAAATAAACATTTAACACAAATTTAGGAAAGACATTCAGAAAATGTAGAAATTTCTATCGAAATAAAATAATATTTGTGGTATACTACTATTCACTTAATGATTTTTTTACCAGAATAATTTAAAACTCGTACTTAAGAAGTTCCTATCACTGCTAGAAGAGAAATTCCTTTTCTTCAAATAATTTTCTATGAGTGTATGAGTTTCATTTTTTAAATTGACTTTAATACATTTCTAAAACTGTCTGCCAACTATAGATAATACTGTCTACATAAAAACAATCCCATTTTCTTTTTAAAGGAGAAATGATCTTAATTTTGAAAGACTAGAAGCCCAACTTAAGGCATGCCACTGCAGGATCATATTTTCTAAGGCAAAGGTAAATATTTTCTAAGATTAAGTGTAGTTACAGAGACCTATTTTTATGGTTGACATTTACTTTATATTTGTCTTTTTCAGCCTTCTGTGTTGGCATTGTCAATCATTGCTTTGGAGATCCAAGCACTAAAGTATGTGGAGTTAATGGAAGGAATAGAATGTATTCAGAAACATTCCAAGGTATGTCAAGGTTGTAGCATCCATCCCCTTAGCTAGTTACAACAGAAATGTATCCACTGTACTCTCTAAAGTATTGATTTGAAGCTTAAGTAGGTCTCCCCTGGTTCTCTTTGGATGAGGAAACACGTTAATGGGATTATATTTATTACTATAAATACAGTGGGGCTTTTAATAATTTTTATTTTTGTACAGATAAATAGCAGAGATTTGACCTTCTGGCAAGAGCTTGTATCCAAGTGTTTAACTGAATATTCATCAAACAAGTGTTCCAAACCAAATGTTCAGAAGTTGAAATGGATTGTGTCTGGACGCACCGCTCGGCAACTGAAGCATAGCTATTACAGAATAACTCACCTCCCAACAATTCCTGAAACGGTTTCTTAGTTGGTAATCTGGTTGTTACTCTCTGTGTACAGAAAATTTTCCAGTGTGGTAATTTTCTTTTATAACTGAAGAATTGAAATACCATCTTCAGTATAAACAGTATGGGATTGAAAGAGTAAAGGGAAAACTGACCTTGTTGATCTAGTTAGTGAATATTGGAAGCCATTTCCTGTGGACAACAGACAGCAATCTCCAGAGAAAGAACTTAGCAAACCTCTAAATACATGTTAACACTTTCTTAGTCAAATTATTAGCTTAGGAAAGAGAATCCTCCAAACTGAAAATTTAAAAGTAGTTAATGAGGCTGGGTGGTGATGGTGCATGCCTTTGATCCCAGCACTCGGGAGGCAGAGGCCTGTAGATCTCTGAGGTCAAGGCCAACCTGATCTACAGAGATAGTTCCAGGACAGCTAGGGCTGTTACACAGCGAAGCCCTGTCAAAAAAAAACAAAAAAAACAAAACCAAAAAAACAAACAAACAAAAAGCCACAGAGAAACCCTGTCTCAAAAAAACCAAAAAAAAGTAGTTAATAAAATAATATTTCTTTAAATTACATGTCACATCACTGTAGCTTATTTAAAGTTACATAAACCCAAGCAGAAGGACAAAACAAAAAGTTTGATCCATATCTAAACAAATTTGAATCTACTTGTTGACTACGAAAACATAGTATGCACATGGGTGATATACTTACAAAATATTATAGGTGGAATGTAAAAAAATAAACTAATAATAACAACAACAAAAAAAAAACAAAGTAATATATGGCAGACAGTCACCACATTAGGTTTCTGTGTCTCAATTCTATATTTAGTATTTTATCTCCAAGCAGTTGATCCATTATATAGTAATTATATGCTTAAAAAATATAAACTTGGTCCCTGATACATATGCATTTTGCCATCTAAATTTCTTCATCATAGCAAGGATTTGTCTTTTCTGTGATTAAAATAAAATGTTGCCAAGCGTTATGGTGCAGGTGGACCTCTGGGAGTTCAAGGCCAGCCTGGTCTACACAGTGAGTTCCAGGACAGCCAGAGACCTACGTAATAGGGAAACCCTGTCTCAGAAATACCAAAATAAAATAATAACCACCACCACCACCCCCCAAAAAAGTAAATGTTGCTGGGAAGATGGTTGAGCAGGTAAGGGTACTTGCCCCCAAGTCTAACAACATGACTTCATTCCCTAGGATCCACACAATGGAAGAAGAGAACAAACTCCTACAAGTCCTCTGGCATGCATGTGCCTCACACTCTCCCCATCCCCGCAATAAATATATGATTGTGCACCTTAAACATCATCAGTTCACCTTTAGCAGCTTGCAGTATGTAGGTAGATTTCTGTTAAACCTGGTCTGTGTTGTTTGCCTAGGCAGTAGGATTGCAATAGCAACAAAAACTGTTCCTGAAGTCTTTCTCTGCCACTCTGACCATGAGTTTCCCATGGTACAGGATTTAAGCTATGAAACCTCAGCACATCATCACATTAGCAGCATGGTCTCAGTGTTGGGAAAACTCCTGATTCCAGGCTTGGTAGAGCTAGGCTTAGATTTGAATTCACCCATGAAACATTCAAATCAAAGCTAAAGACATAAATGTGATAAATGTGAAATAAAACTGTGAACCTTCATTTCAACATTGATCTAACTTCCTAGATTGGAAGTTAGGTGGTATTGAAAATGGTAAACTACTTAATTTAAATCTCAAAATTTAAATTATGAGGTTTACATCAAAACCAACATTTCACAAATGCACTTTTAAGGTATCATAAGGAGTAGTTTAAGCAGTAAATGGTTTCTTGGCACCCATAACCAAGTAATTGCTAATTTAGAGGTGGAATTTTTATTGGTATATGAGAATTTCACTTAAACTTATGGGTCTTTTTTATAAAGCAGATCTCACAAGTTTTGAGACTTTGTTACCTTTAATATTTCTTCTAGAGAATAGGTGGTTTTTTATCCATAATAAAAGAAAAATTCTACAGAACTGCTGCTTCACTCTAGTCCCATTTGAGAAAACATATTAATAACTGGATGAATTATCACCCTGAAAACTTATTTATTGCATTAAACTTAACTCAGGCTTGATAAAGCACTCCAGATTTTTTTTTTTACTACAGTTTTTATAAAACTGCCACTGCTTCTAATGCATTTTGTTTTAAGAGAAATAGAATAATTTGCAAAATGTCTACTGTGTCTTAAGGGAAGTAAGAAGGCACTCTGTAAGACCACCAAGGTGTGTTCAGATTCTCAATGCTGGCCTTGAATGTAAGATCTACACTGTTAAACTGCAGCTGCTCCTCAGTGCAGTGTGCAGCCTGTGTCCACCCAGAGTGGCTGTAACCATTTTGACATGTAATGGATAATGACCACTGAAAAATAAACCAAAGAACCAGACTATTATCGTTAACCTTTGTAAATGATATCCATGAAACTTTTCAGTTCTTCCTAAAGGCTGATATGCTTCAATTTGAAAACAATGTTGATTTTGAGAAGTAAGCTAACCAACTACCATTATGTTTTAAACTAAGGAATACACCTTTCAATAAAGTTATTGAAATGCAATCCTTCCCTGGGCATTTCTGTTTCTTTTGTAAGTATTCTGGCAATATTATAAAAATAAGCTTTCTTTATATTGAATATTAATTTTACTAAAGTAAGATGCACAGAAGCAGAAAGAAATTAGTGTAGCTATTAAGCTGGGCACGGTAGCCCTGGGAAGGCTGAGAGTGGTGGATCTGCATTTGGATCCCAGCCAAGGCTACATGATGAGAACCTATCTCAAAAAAAATATGGTTCTGGCTGGGCGTTGGTAGTGCATGCCTTTAATCCCAGCACTCGGGAGGCAGAGGCAGGTGGATCTCCGTGAGTTCGAGGCCAGCCTGGTTACATTCTTATATTACATTCTTATACTTTGCATCCCCTCTTCCTGGTAAAAGCCCTCTTACTACTACTACTACTACTACTACTACTACTACTACTCTCTCTCTCTCTCTCTCTCTCTCTCTCTCTCTCTGTGTGTGTGTGTGTGTGTGTGTGTGTGTGTGTGTGTGTGTGTCACTGAGCTTAATTAGGTTTGCTCACATGAGCATGTGTGAGAGGTTATTTACTGGAACATGGGGAGCTTGTCAATGGATGCAACACTGCAGAAAACAACATCGTGTGCTGGCTAGTTTTCTGTCAGGCTGATACAAACTAGTCATTCTGAGAAAATGTCTCCACTAGATTGGCCTGTGGGCAAGCCCAAGGTGCATTTTCTTGATGGATGCATAATAATAAGAAAGCCCAGCTCACTGTGGATGGTGCCACCCCAGCTGGTGGTCCTGGGATCTATAAGAAAGCTCTAAGCAAACTAAGAAACATGAAGGACTCTAAGGGATAGACCCCAGGAATGGGAAGTGGCATGAACTCCTGAGCTAATTGGGAGCATAAGGGTAGGGGAGAGGGCGCTGCCACAAAAAGAGCACAAGAAGAAGAGTAGAGGAGAAGAAATGGAGGAGCAGAGATATTGAGTTTGGGCATGAATAGAGCAGAGAGAGCAGGATGAGTGATATCATATCAGAGTAGAGACCTACAAGAATGACACGATCTGACAATCCAGGCAATCGAGGAGAGGATAACCTAAAAGCTCTTCCCCTAAAATGAGATTGATGACTACTCTTTATGCCATCCTAGAGCCCTCATCCAGTGGCTGATGGAAGCAGAGACAGACATCCACAGAAATACACTGAGCTGAAAT